CTGAGATAGTGCGAGTCATTTCACTCACAATTTGATAATATTTATAAGTTTAAACTATAAGGTGTTATCACATGTTTTAAAGTGTTAGGGCAGCTGATTGGGAGATTTGGCATAAACTTTAACACTTTGTACATTTAGTCATCGGAACTTACTTGGGGCCCTGGGTCGGTTTTATGCGTCGCCTCTGTTGCCTGAGCCACGTGGTCAGAGAATGTGATGAGAATGCACTTTCATTGGCGTGGAGTGCTTTTTGAGAAATTCTCTCAGCTGCTGAAGAAATTCCTCAAAAATTCGTTACTCAGTTGAGATGTCAGGTTCTCGGTGGTGAGTTTGAAGACGCCTGTCTTCTGGGTTGTTGCGCTTGTAGTCATATGGAAGTTGACTGACATTTATTTGTCGAATTATTAATGAGAGCCTGCCACTAAACCCGCAGCTCAGCCAGATTAATCCAGTCCAAACCATAACTTCTGTATATTTTGTGTCCCTTTTGTGTTATCCCGCTGTCTACTCTGAGAAGCGACGACAGATCACTGAGTACAGTCATTAGACTGTGAGCTGCGCGGCTGAGATTCGATTCGCAATGGATTTCTCTCTTCACCATTGCTAAGGGGCCCTCCCAGTGTTGTTTACATTTGGAAGTAAGTAATTTGACCCAGGAAATAGCACTTGTAGGAACGGGACTCGATGGTACTGAGAAACTGTTTGATTTTTTTTCGAATTGTGGCCCCGTGAAGTGTAAATCAGTTGCCGTTTCTCTACCCGTAGGCCATAAAATATGTGAGGTCCTTGCAAAATTACGGTTTTTCCCCCTAATTAGCATCTTTTAGAACCGAACGCGTGTAGACCAGGAGCACGTGCCTAGCAGTTCGTGCAGCGTGCGGAGCGATGGCGCCACAGTGTCTCACCAGTTTCAAGTCACGTCAAGAGGGGGGGGGGGACAAGTAATTTCGTTCCGATTAGCCCCAGTCACCCTGAGAACTTCCAAATCCTGGCTCGGGAATCCTCAAATTATCGTCCCGTCAGCTATTTTAACGAATCTGTCCGTGGAAGAGTGTAACATAACGCTACTTGTTACTCGTCTTGACGGCGTAGAGCGTGTACCGAATTTCGTCGAGATCCGATGAGTGCATGCGACAACATGGCGGAGTGGCACGACCTCCTCATCATGCGTGCATATTTTGCGCAGCGATCCTCACAACGTACGGGCCGGCACCTCCGAGCGAAGCGAAGCGAAGCCTGTGTAGGTTTCCAGGGGCTTTCTAACTGTCGGCTAGGCAAATTGTGAATTGTTAATCGCGTAGGACGTGGAA